AAATCGAAACAAAAAGTAGTCATTCTCCATATCAATGAACTCATATGTGCCTGAGATATTCCACATTCTCAGTAAACGATTGAGTAAGAATCTAACTCCAACTTTCTTCCCCAGAAGTTTCACAATCATTGCCTGTCTCCAAGGTCTGCAACCTTCTAAATGCAAGGCTTTTGGAAAAGAATACGTTGGGCAAAGAGGATCCTCCTCACCATCAACCGTAACAAAGACCTCATCCCCTTCTTCTTCATCCTCTTCCTTACGTAGTTTTTCTACCCAATCTTCCTCATCGCTATCAGCAACATGGGGTCCTCCATTAAAACCAAGAAGAGAATCTTTATATGACACCAACTTCCTGTTAGATGAATCACCTGACTCTTCCTTCTTTTTTCCCCCCTTGCTAGTCACATTCACCTGGATATCCTCCTCTGCCATGTGATCATCCATAGGTTGATCTTCCATAGCAGGGCCTTTAGGTTTTTTTGTGCTTCGATGGAGAAGATCTTCCTCCTCTGTCGTAGCATCTCTCGCCTCCTTGCTGGTTTCTCTCTCTTCACTCATCTCTAAAAAATTCTCTTCCTTTTTTCTCTCTTCCTTCCTTCTACATTCCTTATTATATATATAGTTCATAAAATCACATTCCTTATTATATATATAGTTCATAAAATATTTTTATATTGATGTAGGCTTGTTACACCCATAGCTTGGTTTGTGTGCCTCTCTATGACACCCTTGGTAAATTTTTTCCGTAAATTTACTCTACCCTTTTTTTCTCTTTGTTTTTCTACAATTAGGAGCTATGCCAAAAAATTATCCTAGTCAGAGCCATTCTTTGAATTTTCTTTATTTTTTCTTCTCTTAGTAGCCATAACATTCATCTTTTTGAACTAATACAAATTTATTTCCATAGTTATCTTTTAGTTGTTATCTGATCTAAGTGAAAGTGGCATCCAAATTTTTCAAGGCATCTTTTTAGCTATGTTTCTCTTTCTTTCTTTTATTTTTTATAATTAAATAGCAACTAGAGATTCTTTCAGATTCGTTTTTCATTTACCCATTTATTAGATTTGTCATTCTTCATATATTTATTGATTTGAAGCAATTTAAACACCAAACGTTGGGCCTAGTGCGGTAAATTTTATCTTTGATAATGGAGAAGTAGATTTTGCATTCGTCCAAGATAAGAAGGTTATACGGGTAAGAATCATTTTCTTGAGATAATCATTTTCTTGAGATAATCATTTTCTGCTCCAAATGAACTTATATATCAGACATTCAGTGGCAAATAGAGGTTTTCATTGGCTATATATACTATTTTTAGCTTTTGAATCCTGATTGTAAATCTGCTCAACGACCAAAAGGTAAAATGTGGCTAGGTGGGCGTGTTCAAGTAATAATATCTAGAGGTGCACCCTTAGCTTAGAGGTTAAAGAGTTCTTGCATGTTACTTCGTGTGCCTTTGTATGTCAAGGCTATGATAGTAAGGAACTTTCTTGTTATACTGCTTATAAATAAGATAAACTGTGGGATGTATTCGTTAATATATGCATACGTTGCATTTTTTATCGAAAAAAAGTTCATATTATTTTGATTTTAGAACTGTGGTGGTGTTAAGCCTTACACTCTACACATTTTGGGCCACAAGGAGAGACCATGATTTTATCTTTTTAGGTCTTGGTCTTTGCCCTAATTCAGGGGTTCTGGTCTCGAACATGTATTATTAGGCTATTAGCCCCTAATCTATGATGCTCTAGGCCATTTTGTATTCTTAAAGTGTGTTCCTTTCCTTGCAGATTCTCTTTCCACTTGTAAGTTCTCAATGGTGATTTATGGATGCCTGGCATCAATTATATTTTGTGGCTACATCATATATCATACAAACAACCTCATCAAGAGAACTTCTGGCTTGTGCTACCTTTTTCCTTTTTTATTTTAAATTTAATTTTTTTGTCAAGATCATTTGTTGCTTTTCACACACACATGTTTGTGTCTAATTCATAATTTTCATGCTTGTATTTCTCATTTTTTTAATCCTAGGCTTTTACTATTCCTGTTCGTTTGGTCGAGAGCAGTGGAAGATGCAACAAAAATGATAGTTAGGAAAAAGTTGGAGATTTGCTTTAAGGAATTTCCTTATATCCTTTTTTCTGCTCATTCATATGCATTGAGAGGATGTGTGCTTCTTGGTGACTGGTTCTTCCAAATCGGACAACTTGAATTCCTCATCTAGTCCAAACAATCATGTAAATAGCATTAAACAAAAGGGAGTGTATTCATGTTGACAAGAATTTGATTTAAGGGCCAAATCCAAATCAGGGAGGAAAATTATGCATTCCTCTTATATTTGCTTTCCAAGTAAGCTTGTGAACTTTAGAAAAACTATGTGTTTGATTTTTTTCCTTATCATCAAGCTAATATTTTATTTTTCTACGTAGGTGTATTGGGGTAGGTAATGCTTCAAAGGATTAGGATGCATGCCATAACAAATTTAGGAAGGGTGATAAGGACAAATTGTATTGTCATTTTTTTAATGGAACTAAGAAAATAATTTGTTTATGGTTACATGAAATATGATTTTTTATATAGACATTCCATGACAAACTTCTTAATAATTTTATTTGGAAATTATTTCTCTTATGCAATATTAGTAGAAAACTTGATTAGCGCATATGAATTGAAACCTTGATGTGTTGTATAAATTCTTTAATAATATCAATAAAAAAACTTACATATCCAAAATTAAATATATGGTTTGGAGTTTGGTTCATATTTTTCACTATTTTTTGTTTGAGTTATTTTTAGTATTTTTTTCTTTATTGTTGTAAGATTTATTAAATTTGAAATATTTTTAGTTAAAAAATATTTCTTATAATTAGCCACATTTTTTTGTGGCAAATTATACAGTTTAACCGCATTTATAAAGTGACTAAATTAACAATAATCGTGGCTAAAAAAATGCTACCACACTCAATTAAAATGTGACTAAATGAATAAAACAATATGGTTAGATTATTGAAACACTCCTTCCAGCCACATTTAATAAAAATGTGGTAAAGTTTGTGAGCTACATTTCTAATGAATGTTTGCCATGTTTTTAAATGTGGCTAAATATCACTTTTTTTTTTAATATTTGAATTTTTTTGGTATTTTCACAACCCAAAAGTGATCTATAATTTCGCATAAATATCAACTAATCCTGAGTTAAGCATTGTCATAATTATCCAATATTTGTATCAAAATTCATATTCAGGATTCAACCCGTACTTTTTTTTACAATTCATCCATCTTACAACTCATATTTCCACTTGCAAATGGATATTTTCGTCCGGTTTCAAAAATAAGTACAGCTATTGTAAACATGATTACTTTGCAGAAAAAAAAAAAAAATACAAGCCTAAACAGAAGGGATAGAAAAGAAATGAACTTTAATTCTGGACTCGTTCTGAATTGAATTAGTTGCGAAGCAATGAACAGATTGAAATATTTCAAAAAATAAAAAGAAATGAGCTCATCCGCCAATGGAGAAAACGTCTCCTTGACAGCAACGAAGAATTTCCTTTTTCTCTTCCGCAATCATAGCAGCCGTGCGAGGCTCCTTTTTATTAAGAGGCTTGTCACCTCTCATTCCTCATCCACATCAGTCTCCCCGCATCAAAAGATGCAAGAGTTAATCAGATATATACAAATGTCCTTTCATCATATAGATTGAGATTACATCTTCCAAAAAAAACAATAGCTTTTCTCTTTTTCTACCCCAAAAAGTAGTAAAGAATCTCCTCATCATGTCGGGATTTTTTCATCAACATATACACCTTCCACTACGTGCATCTTAGCCATCCATATGCTCTCTCCAGCATCAAATTCATCCAAAAATTACATCAACATTTCATAATTTCCATAACAATAGATGCACCATATTTACACTAGAGATAAAAATAAAAAAATTAAATGCAGCTATAAAACTAAAACAACTAAATTGAAGCAATGTTAAACTTGTTAACACCCACCCCACCCATGGAATGAAAAAAATTCCATTTACAATTAAAAACAAAAATTATAACAACAACATGATGGCGCATGTTCGTTGGGTCCTTAGGAGACTATAGGTCAAATATTGCAAGGTAAACGTTTGCCACAATAAAAACAATAATAATGATAATAATAATAAAATCAGGCGTGCACCCTAATCGGGTAAAGATCTAAAAGAGTAACGGAGTTCTCCATCGACCACCGCACACGTGATAACGTATCTATCCTCATTACACGGCCGGTCCCAAATAATAATAGTCAAATACATACAGCCACTGGGTCAACTAGTCAACGTTTCTTTTAGCCAGCCACTCAACTAGTTACCACCTATTAACGGAGAAAACTTTTGGTGTGACAGAGGCACACAGTATTGGACGCAACCGACAAATAGGAAAAGCACACATGACACATCAACCCACATATGAATTTTAGAGATAGAGAAAAAAATAAAAATAAAAATATAATCTTGATATTATAATTATGAAAAATGTTATATTTACAAATTTTTTGTTTATAAACTCTTACAAACTACACTAAGTATGACTGATCATACTTTAATCAAGAGTGTATGACCGATCATACTTAATGTAATTTGTAAAAAAAAAATTGAAAACAGATTCTTCCCCTGTAATTATATAATATATATTATTATAATACATAATTATAATAGAGGTAAGATCTTTTGACAGCGATGTCAAATTTAAAATTTGACACCTCATCTGAGAGAGGTTGGATAAAAAAGATCAACGATTCTGATTTATAAGCATGTGACACCATTGATATTTTTTATTCTAACGACTCTTAGACAAAGTGTCAAATTTTAAATTTGACACAAGTGTCAAAGAATCCTACGTCCTTATAATAATATTTTCATCAATATTCGATGTCTCTATAAAAATATTTTCCTATTAACGAGGCATTCAACAATTACAACCTAAATAATAGAATAATGACCGACCAAACATCAACGTGGTACAAACTGAAGAATATAAGCACGCATCAGTAGTTGTTGTTTGAGACTAGAAAACAGAGGACATGGGAATCGACCGAAGAAGTGGCTTTTGTAGCTCCAATTATGTTTTCTACAGCAAGCGTAAGCCACTTCCACTCCCACCAAACAAGTCCTTAGACGTCACCACTTTCATCTCCTCCCGGGCCCACCATGGCAAAATAGCCTTCATAGACGCCGCCACCGGCCGTCACTTCACCTTCCACCAACTATGGCTCGCCGTGGACGCCGTCGCCACGTGTCTCTCCGACATGGGCATCCGAAAGGGCCACGTCATACTCATCCTCTCTCCCAACTCAATCTACTTCCCTGTGGTGTGCCTCGCTGTCATGTCCCTCGGTGCCATCATCACCACAACAAACCCTCTCAACACAGCCCGCGAAATCGCCAAACAAATCGCCGATTCCAAACCCGTCCTCGCCTTCACAACCCTTCCCCTGCTTCAAAAAATCGCCGAGGCATCACCCACCTTACCAATCGTTCTCATGGACACAACAAACTCTGCCACTGGAGATAATAATAAAATCGTAACAACCACACTTAGCGAGATGATGAAAAAGGAACCCGGGGCGAGTCGAGTGAGGGAGCGAGTTGACCAGGACGACACGGCCACGCTTCTTTACTCTTCTGGAACAACGGGACCCAGCAAAGGGGTAATTTCGTCACATCGGAATTTAATTGCCATGGCTCAAATCGTTTTGGGTCGGTTCAACGTTGGAGACGAGGAAGAAACCTTCATCTGCACCGTTCCAATGTTTCATATATACGGTCTTGTAGCGTTCGCAACGGGGCTTCTGATTTCAGGATCAACGATTGTGGTGCTTTCGAAGTTCGAGATGCACGACATGTTATTAGCGATTGAGAAGTTCCGTGCCACGTATCTGCCGCTGGTGCCGCCGATACTGGTGGCGATGCTAAATAACGCGGATGCGATTAAGCGCAAGTATGATTTGAGATCGTTGCATTGGGTGCTGTCTGGTGGAGCTCCACTGAGTAAGGAGGTGATAGAAGGGTTCGTGGAAAAGTACCCTAATGTTGTGATCCTTCAGGGTTATGGCTTGACGGAATCAACCGGAGTTGGAGCATCCACCGATTCCTTGGAGGAGAGTCGTAGGTACGGCACGGCGGGGCTTTTGTCTCCGGCCACCGAGGCTAAAATTGTTGACCCTGACACCGGTGAACCACTTCCGGTTAACCGGACCGGTGAGCTCTGGCTTAGGGGTCCCACCATCATGAAAGGTTGGTATGGTTTTCAATTTTTTTTTTTTATTAATCAAGCCGCTTGAGTTCTGTATTATCATAATAGGCCTTTAGGAATAAATATTGGGAGTGGTTCTTAATTAACATGACAATGTCATGTGGGGCCATCATAATCATAGTGAGTTAATGGTGACAAGAGAGGAGAGAAAAAAAAAATATAAGAATGGGAAGTTACACAAGCATCACCGTTGGTATAATTATTAATGGTTAAGATCCTTCCACGTGACATGATCATATTAAATTACATATGAGGATCCATTTCCATAAATATTTGTCCTTGAAAGATAAGTCTATTTTATACAACTCAAAACAACCTATGATGCATTTACACTTCAAAATACTTGACGTGTCGACACTTTGACACTTCCACTTAAAGAAGGATTCGAATGTTGTGTTGCATTGCAGTTTTATTTCCAACTAAGAATGTAAATGGACTGGGCTAGGCTAGACTTTAGCTTAAATAGGTCAGGCTTGTGTGAAAAGCATTAGGTATGGCCTGGCCATGTAGGCCCCAAAGTACAATTCTCGGTTACCTATATTTAAAAAATAAAAGCCTTGACCTTGACCTGTTAGCGTGTTTAAGCCTATTACACATTCAACAATTAAAAGAATAATTAAAATAATATTATTTTATTATTCAAAGTTATTAAAACAATAATTTTATTTATTATATTTTAAATAAATAATATGATATAGGCTGGCCTATAGTCTTATAGGTTAGACATGTACAAAAAAGCCTATGCCTATTTTCTAAATAGATATTTTTAAAAGCCTAGACTTGTTTTATTTTACTATTTATAATAGGTCAAGCTTGACCTAATATAAGCTAGGTCGTAGGCCCCTGTAGGCCGGCATAGTCCATTTACACCCCTAGTTTCAACTATTAGATTCGTTTAATTACGATTAACATTTTATTGAATTTAATATAAATATTTAGGATATCTTATGTTTCTTTACAAAATTTATGGGCATTATAAATTTAGCTTCATTTCTTTGTTAAATTATTGAATATTAAATATAATATTATAGAAAAAAAATATTTTTTCACGTGTTATTTAATAGGTGAGAGAATTATAATTATACAAAAACAAATTAATGATGGTGATAAGGGAATAGAGAAAAAAAAATTAGAATAGAAAATTATAAAATTATCATAGTGACTTGTTCATTGATGATTAATATCTAATGTCCGCTAAAAGAAGCATAGCACCCTTTGTACAATCACACAATATTATTTTGGTAAAATATGTGAATTTTAACTCAATTAAATAAATTTTTTCCTTTTTACCTTACTATAATCAAAAGCGCCTTCAAAAATATATTAAAACAATGTAGGATTGACCTCGTTGTTCATAAGATAATAGCGGATGAAATTGTAATTTTGTCTATTATTCTAAGTATGCTAAACATGGTCGTTGTTTTAATTTAATTTAATTTAACATTGAGGGATGGTTATGGCAGGTTATTTTAGTAACGAGGAAGCCACCACTTCGACCCTTGATTCAGAGGGATGGTTAAGAACAGGGGATGTTTGTTACATTGATGATGACGGATTCATATTTGTTGTCGATCGGTTGAAAGAACTCATCAAATACAAGGGATATCAGGTAACCAGATTCTGAATTCTAACTGGGATCTCATATGTATTTACTATTAATTAACAACTGCATGTTTACTAGTAGCTACCTGCTTCTAAATCAGTGAAGTAATTATAGGAAGATTAATCACAAACCCACAATTGGGATATGAATATTGTCAATCTTAGGGATGGTGTCTTGATCTTGTTTCTTGATTTTTTAGGTCCCTCCAGCAGAACTAGAAGCCTTGTTGCTGACTCATCCTGCTATTTTAGATGCTGCTGTCATACCGTAAGTATTTCATTTATCACACAGATTTTTAACTAATAATATATAGACACATAAAAATGTGTAGGCCATGCCTTCTCTTTCTCTTTCTTTTTTCTTTCTCTTCCTCTCTCTTCTTATCACTTGGTCCAACTGTCCTACACACTTATTTATCTCTTACAACGTTAGAAATAGTAACCCATAAATAAATATTGTGATTTTAGTTTGCCTAATTTAATTTAAAATTATATAAAGTAAGTGAAAGACAAGTCCTGATCCATGAGGCTTTTTTATGTTTTGTATATCAGGTATCCAGATAAGGAGGCTGGGCAGTTTCCAATGGCATATGTGGTAAGGAAAGCTGGAAGTAGCATATCGGAAAACCAAGTTATGGATTTTGTTGCAGGACAGGTTAGTATGGAGCATTGCTTTTCAACAATGGCGACCTTTTTCTTTTCCATTAAGATTCTTGGAGTTTTTTCAATTTTGACGGCTGAAATTATATTGAATATCTCTGAAGTGTTATTTTAATACAATCTCTACTGTTAAAATATAAAGGGTTCTATTTTTTTTATGTTATTGGAGATAAGTATCTCCTATCATAGACGTGGTGGGGCCCACCACCCATTGAAAAAAGAAAAAAGAAAAAAGTGATGGTGTAACTTTTTATGTGAGAGTAGCATGAGACAATAATTTTCTCAAATATAAATACTCTAATATTTAAAAAAAATATAAATACTCTAATTAACATTTAAAAATTTATTCGTTTTATGGTGATACTTTTTAATCCTAATTCCTAATGTCTTAATCTTAACATGTTGTGGGTTATATACAGGTGGCTCCTTACAAAAGAATTCGAAAAGTGGCGTTTATATCTTCCATACCCAAAAATCCATCTGGTAAAATTCTTAGGAAGGATCTCATCAAGCTTGCAACGTCTAAACTCTAAAGAGTTTTGAGTTGTTCTATTTAGGTTTGTGTTGGAGATGGAAAAAGGGTGAATCTTTAACTAGTTTTCTTTTTCGCTGTAATTTTCTGGCTTGTTTATTTTTGTTCATTTTCTATGTGTTCTTTGTTTAACAGTTTATTTGTAAAGAGCAGCAAGTGCTGAGTGAGTGCTTTCTAATGCACTCATAGGGAATAAAAATGTCTTTTCGTAGTTTTGTTTGTGGATGATAAACTATAATTTGAATGGAGATATCTTAAGTTCTTTTGAGAAATTTCATTCATCATATCGGTTTGTTATCAAATGTGCAGAGAATATTTAAAGGGTTTTGCATTTGTCATGTTGCATGACAAATACAAAGTTTCTTACACATACATTGATATTTGTGTTGTATTTTATTTTATTTTATCTTTATTTTAAACATGGTTGACCCCACGCTTATTATCTCTATAACATGACAAGAGAATTGTCCTACAACATTATATTTGTTTTTCCCATATTTAAAATAGAATTTTTAATAGTCTGCATATTGTTGTACCAAAACGTTTACATGCGTTGTGTTTGATTTTTTTTATAATTATAATTAATTAATTGCTTTTTTTTAATCAAATTATTTTGATTTATTAATTAAATTCTAATCTCTGGAACAAGTATTAACTTTATAGTTTCAATTATTTTTAAAAAAAGAAAGAAATTGATTTTGAAGATATTAAAAGTATAGAAATGTATAAATCCATTTTCAATATTGTTAACCAATTAAACACTGTAACTTTCTGACTGATCATGAATCTTAAAACTTTTTTTGCCTTTTGAGTATTTGACCAAATTTGATGAATTCGTTGGGCTTATACATTTGTCTCTTAATTTATATTGGCTCAACCACTTTTTTTCTTCAATATCCTAACTTGCGACCTTGCCACATGCCTCATTTTTACCGTGAATTCATTTTTTGGAGTAATTTTTACGGTTTAATGTTTTCATGCATATACATGGAATGGGTGGGACTCTAAAAAGAGAAGAGTGAAAGAAAAAAAAAAGTGAAATTCATTCACTTTTGTATGCGTACCAAACATAAAGTTATCTTCTGGACCAGAAATATTAAATTCTAATTTTTATTAAAATAATAGTCTGTATTCGATTTGTAAACTCAACTGTCATGAGTTTTTTTTTTTAATTCCGATGGCTTTTGACAATTATATCTTTTAATTAATAACAAATTATCATCTTGTCCCCATTCATAAATTATTCAAAAAAATTGACATATTCATCAAACATGACACTAATCTGTCTCTATTTAACCGTTGACCACTTAGTTATCTGTGTACTGACCCAATTACCCGGGTATATTTCGAGGATTGTAGGTGTTCTTATGTAATATGAGTTTCTACCAGGATATTTACCCAGATACTCGAGTATGCAGTAATTTACCCAGATACACACCAATTACCCAGGTATTCGTCGGCCAGAAACCCCAATATCATTGGGTTTTGGCCTCTTTTATCATCTATACGTTTTGTATCCCCAAATCTCTATTCTCAGCCATCAAGATTGTATTTCATCTCACCATCTCAAAAGGCCTTATCTTGTGAAATCATTGGCATTACACCTACATATTCCTATTTATTTCTCAAAAATCCGATCCAAATCCAAACCCAAACCCAAACCCTAGACCCAATTTTCGTGTGAAAGATGAGTTCAAATTCAAGCACGTATCCTGTAGTTATTTACCACAATGGAAGGCAATTTGAAGGTCCCAATGGTGTCCGATTTGAAGGAAGAATAAAAACAATGAAAATAAAAATGGGCACTACATTCAATGAACTGTAAGAGAGAATTCATCAAAAATTGGGGCTACAAGGCAGCCAATCCATTCAGCGCATGATAGCCAGGTTAGAAACTGTAATTGATATGGATACAATATACTAAATCAGTAACAATATCAATGATGATGAAGATGTGGAGTTTGTCACGATGCATTTGTTGAGAGGGAAATATTAAAATTTATTGAGATATATGTTCAAGTTGATGTTGGTCAGTCTTCATCTTTACCGACGCATAGAAGCACTCCACAGTGTTATGGTCAAGAAGATACAATTGTCGATTTATCTGCACTTGCTCAATAGTTAAGTCATATAACAATGGATGAGGGTGAGGAGGATGAGACTGGGGAGGAGGAGGATGTGGATAGCGAAGAGGATGGAGAACCTGAAAGTGTTATTCCACAAGGTGATTCATCAGATACTGACGTCGAGGGTAATTTTGATGCTAACACGAATGCGGTAAGCCTGGGTTCCCTGGCCATGTCACCTCTTCATGTTGACTCAATTAGTAGTGGTAAGTTATTAAATTTCAATTTGTTTTGAAAATTTAATATTTGCATTGGTATTGCTTCTGACAATTATAATCATGCTTTAGATGCAATGATTGAGGTAGAGCCATTTTGGAATGAAAGTCAGCATTATTCATTCATTAATAGGGCGCACCCTAATGACGAGTTGGAGATCCTCTACGGTGACGACGACTTGCTTGTATGAAGGGACGCGAGACAACCATAGTTGAAAAAAGCAACGAGCATAGATTTGTGATAAAGTGTTGAAACTATGCTTACGGTTGTCCCTGGTATATGAAAGCAATCAAGCCCAAGAAGGAAAATAATTGGGTGGTTCGTAAGAGAGACCAAGATCACACCTGTCTGAATCAGGGTCTTGCACAGGATCATAAACAGCTGGATTCAAAAGTTATTTGTGCAGCCATTATGAGTATGTATTGTACGATTTGTTATTATCAAAGCTGTTATGATTATGTTATTTATTTAATGAAAAATGGTTATTGACAATATTTTAAACTTGCAATTTTTTATAAGTATGTTAAAGAAAGATCCAGCCTTAAAACCAGTTCATATGGATATAAAATAACGTACAGGAAGGCTTGGAAGACAAAAATGAAGGTCATTATGAAGTTATATGGTGACTGAGAGAAATCTTACGCATTCATGCCGAATTGGTTGACGTACATGACGCAAATGAATGTGGGTTATGTGTTCAAACTTGATACGAATGAATGTTTTGACGAACGTAGGGTTTATACGAACAAGGTCATCTTTCATAAGATTTTTTGGACATTTCACCAGTGATTTGAGGCATTCAAATACTGTAAGCGATACTTCAAATTGACAACACTCATCTGTATCGGAAATACAAAGGAACTCTTTTCAGTTCATCATCACGAAATGAAGATGGATATCTGCTACCTATTGCCTTTGTTGTTGTTCCTCCAGGTGAGAAGTTGAAAGATTGGTCGTGGTTTCTTAGCCTTATACGTTTTCATGTGACACACAGGCAAGGTATTTGTCTAATATCTTATCGTCACCGAAGCATTATAAGGGCGGTCAAAGATCACGTTGGTTGGCAGCCTCCTTATGCCTATCATGTGTTTTGTCTACGTCACATCGGAAGCAACTTTAATACCAGGTTTAGGAATGTGGAACTAAAGAAAACGTTGATGAAACTAGGTATAAAATTTCATTAATATATATTATCATTCAACCTTTTTTTTTGGTATGTTAAATTACCTATTGAATTTTACCTCTTTGATTTGCAGGGTACACGAGTTCAAAGATTCATTTTGACATGAGATTTAAGGAATTTATTGACAACAATCCAGAAGTTGCTTCATGGTTGGATGAGATTCCAAAAGAGCAATGGTGCAGGTCTTATGATAAGGCAGGACACAGGTTTGGTCACATGACGACTAACCTATTTTAGTGTGTGAATAAGGTCCTCCACGAAGCACATAATTTGTGGGAGACAAAATTTCAACTTAAATAATATCATTCACATTCGCAAAGATAAAATATGCGAAACGAGACATAATGAAGTATTTTTTGGGAAATGTTTTTGACCAAATACCTTTCTAAATTTTCCAGCGCGTAAATCTCAAAAAGTTATGTGGAATAAAAAAAATCACCTCATTCAAACACTTGAGTCAAAAGTTATGACTTTTTAAAGTTTTACTGCAAAATTGTTATAAATTTTGTGCCACGTGTCATCATTGGGTGAGTTCGCCTAAATTAGGTGCGGCCAATCACCCTATTACGCCTTATTTGGACGCGACCAATCTCGCGACTGATTTTTATATATTCATAAATTAATTCAAAGTGCTACATTTTCATAATTTTTTTATTTAAATAACAATATTTAAAAATTTTCCCCCACCGAGTGGCCTGGCCAGGAGGCCAACATGGCGCTTGGTTACAAAGGCAAAATCTGTTTCTTGATTTGATCCATCACCTGCTATCAAAAACTTCGAATGTAGCCTTTTTGGCAAATTTGTTTTGCCAAAATGGCGATTCCCTGAGATCAGGTTTAAAGAATTATAATTATCAATTAAAAAGTTAATAAAATAAATTGGAAAAGATTATATTTACAAATTTTTTGTCTACAAATTCTTACAAACTACACTAAATATAACTGGTCATACTTCAATCAAGAGTGTATGATCAGTCATACTTAGTGTAATTAGTAAAAAAAAAAAAAAAAAATTAAACGGATTCTTGTTCAAATAAATTTTATCAATTCTATAATTCATTGTATATGTACACATATTTTATCACAATTTCAATCATTAATCAATAATTATAACTTTCCATCTTCACTTTAAAAAATCAAAGCTGTGGCATGTGGGAGCCATTTGAGCGTATAAATGCCCATACTCGATCCCATACTTTGATTTCGTGAATGTTAATTTAAAAAAAAAATATTATTATTATTTTACATAAAGTTTTACAAATCTCAACTTGAGCGTTTTGTTTCCTTAAATCAATTGAGGGATGGAGTACTTTAATTTTTATTTAGATATAATGATAACACTGAAATTTGAACCTACAGACTAGCTAAACTCTTCAGCACTAGACTAATACTACTTGACCTGGATGGCAGTACTTCTAAGCTCGAGAGTCGAGTCCTTCGACATTTCTCGTATTTTATATGCCATGGCACGTGCTTCTCATATCAGTTGGAAAACCAATTATTACCTGGTGCCTTCTAGTTCGGCGGACTCTATTATAATGGACTGGAATCGTAGTTCGTAAAATTATGGGTCTTTTTTTCCTTTTCTTCGAATCTCAAGCTTAGCCTGGATGTTGAAACTTGAAAGAGAGATTATACTTGCATACACATACAAAAAAAATGCACTTTGTTAAATAAAGAAGATATTAGAATGTGTTTTTTTTTGTTATATTATTTAGAAATGAAAAAAATTTAAGTATAATGTCAGTTTGTTTGTTTGTTTGTTTTTTTTTTTTTTGTGGGCATGTTAAAAGAAGTCCTTCATATTAATTATTGTTTCGTTCACGTGCAATTTCATCCCTTGAGCTTCGTTCTGAACTTTGGCAAGTAACATTCTCCAATCGCAATTGCTCTACCCCACGTATTATTGTACTAATTATAATATAAAAGTATTAATGTAGTTTTCACTTATTGTTTGCATAATATCATAGCTTCCATGGTAAATGATAATGGGTTTGATCTTCACCATTTTCATTCTACTATCAAATAATTGAATATTAGACTTTTTTTTTTTTTTGGGAAACTGATCCTAATTACTTCTTTGAGGTGAATCAGAACTCCCAGTATCTCCACGGGTTCGACTCTTTGAGCTGCCTATGGAACTAATTCAGAGTTCGGGTGCGAGTACAAGGATTACAGTACTTATGCTCCTCCCCAGATGGTGTTGGTGGAATTCGAACCGAGGTCCTCTCCCACCACTCAGTCTCCATGCTACCAACTGAATATTAGACTTTCTTAATACAAGTAGATATAGCTTCAATGAATTCGTGTGTATATTATTCACCCTTCAAATTCAATAAACTCCTATAGAAATGGGTTAGAGAAAAATTAAATAATAATAATATAAAGAGTAAACATCATTTTTGGTCCCTAACAAAAATACGCTCCCCACTTTAGTCCCTTACAAAAATAAATTAGTCAGTTAGTCCCTAACAAATTCAAAATGGACTCATTTTAGTCCTTTTGAGGGACTAATATGGGTCTTTTTTGAATTTGTGAGGAACCACAGTCTCAACTAAATGGGTCCACTTTGAATTTGTTAGGGACTATGACTAATTTATTTTTGTAAGGGACTAAAGTGGGGATCGTAATTTTTGTTAGAGAACAAAAATGGTATTTAATCTAAAATAAAAAGATAGCAACATGGATAACCTGGTCCCACTATCTGTTCAATTGTGCATTCTGATTAAAATCCAAAAATAGCCCACGTCCTAAACCATGTTATCATCCAATCAGCACATGGTTTTTCTTCCAAACTAAATTTTATAATGAAAAGCTCGTATATATACACGAATTTCCAAAGCATGCACACCGCGCACTCTCTAAATCTCAAATACAAAGAGAGTTTTAGGCAGAGTGAAAGACGGTCCCAACATGATAAGCTTGAAAAGACTAATTGCCATGGCAAGGAAGTGGCAAAGATTGGTTGGAATCAAGAGGAAAGAGATTTCGCTGCCAAGAATGAACCATAAGGTTAAGGTAGCAGATAAAGGTCACTTTGTGGTGTATACCATTGACAAGGGACGTTTCGTGATACCATTGGCTTATTTAAGGAGCAAGATTTTCAGAGAGCTTTTTAGGATGTCTAAGGAACAGTTCGGGCTCCCAAACGATGGTCCAATAACATTGCCGTGCGACGCAGACTTTTTGGAATATGTTGTGTCGTTGGTTCAGAAACACGTGTCTACGGATCTTGAAAACGCAGTGCAGCTCATAGCCTCATTTGTTTTTGGATCTAATTGCCTGTGTCTTGCACCTTCGCTTGCTGTCTAATTAATACCATCAGTGGTGGTTTCGTAAAGTTACATGTATTAATCTATATATATATATATATATATATATATATATATATATATATATATATTATATATATATATGAGGCAGTATATTCTTACACCGGTGTAAGAGTTAAAAGTTTTACACTCAATCTTGACCATTGATCTACTTGTATCCAATGGCTCACATTACTAAAAAAATTCAGCCCTTAGATATAAGTAGAATTAACGGACAAGATTAAGAGTGTAACTTACACTGGTGTAAAATGATCCTGACCCTATATATATATATATCTATATATATATAAGGAAAAATGTTTCTGCAGTCACTGCAGATAAATTATCTGCATTTATTTCCAAAACGACGTCGTTTTGATATTGAAATCTTAAAAAATTATAAATATAAAGACCATTATAACCTGAAATAAATTAAAATTACATAAACAACATGATTTCTGCCCCAAAACGACGTCGTATTGAGCTTATTGCAGATAACTTATATGCACTAACTCCAGAAAAAGCGAACCCATATATATATATATATATATGTTTGTCCACATTTGATGCTTGAGTTATTTAATATGGTAAAATTCGGTGTCAAACTTCATTTTATTTTAAATGAGAAAAATGAACATTTTAAGAAGTTGATTTTTCGTTAGTTAAATTGAAAATCGTCTTTATCTTGAGCAAAATTAAAGATAAGGAAACCAATGTGATGGCAAGATTTTTCGTAAAGAAAAATAAAGGAGAAAAAAAGAAAGAACCAAAGCAACATTTGCAAAAAAAAAATATGGTGACACTTCAAACATGCAAACAGACAGCTGTAAGTCCCCTGCTATAAAAACCGATATGATCCGCACATGATTTAGGTATTGAACCGATTGTACATTAATTTTACCATGTATGAAATCAATATATTGGTTCTAAACCGATATTAAATTGGCACCGATTTTAAAAGGATTGATTTTGTGAAATATTTGACAAAATATTTAAAAGTTCCCTATAATAAGATTCAAACGTAAACCTTGTAGATTATAACTTATAGTATTTATTATGAATCTAACTCGAATTATAATTAGCTTCTAATTTTATATTTATTATATTTTATTACAGGTTTTGTATTTCTGCAGCAACAGCAAAATGTTGTCTTCTTTCCATCATTTAAAAAAAAAAAAATAAGAAATGAAAATTTTTACTGAGTCTGTTGCACGAGGAAAACACTTATATGTGCAGAATTTTTTTTTCCTTTTTATTATATATATTTAGTTTATGCAATACAACTAGTAATCTAATGGTTAAATTATTGACTCATCTGTTAGTTTGCATAATATATCATGTTCATAAATCATAAAATAAGAATATGATAAAAGATCTTGAGAATACATGATTTTCACATACAAATAAGAGATAAAGACATACCCAGAAACAATGATGAAGGATTAACAATAGTCATCATCTTATAAACAATTGTGTTAGGGTAGTTTCTCTCTTTAAGCTTTCTTTACTTTGATATGCAAGGAAGCACGGACATTTGTAAAAACAGGGAGAGTCGTGTCCGACACGCTCCGACACGGCGACATGTTCCGACATGCTCCGACACGGTGTCGGACACGCGGTCAACTTTTTCTGACACGTTGACCAATCCGACACGCAAATTTGACTGTGTCCGACACGGTCAAATGACATTTTCGTAATTTTTTTTATTTTTTTAAAAAAAATTATTATCTTTTAAATTAAAATATATTAATAAAGCTTCCACCTGATCATATCAATTTTATTTTTTTGTCTTTTTTCCCCTTAAGTAGATAAGAGATCATCTCAGCATCATTGTTGTCAATTCTTATCACGCTCTTGTTGTATCTCCTTGTCTCTGATCTCTCTCTCTAATATGATTTGATCTCTCTATCTGATATTATATATCTCTCTCATCCCAGTTCTTATATTTTTTATTAAAGCTTCCATCTTTATAACGTGTTGATGGGTATTATTAATTTAGTTTTATTTTTTTGTTAAATTATTAAATATTATATGAAATATACACTATATAAATTAAAAATATTATTTAATATTAAAACGTTTCCTAACGTGTCGAAATTCACAATTTTTTAGGATTGACGTGTCGGAGTGTTGTGTCGTGTCACATGTCGTATCGGTGCTACATAGTTGATATGTATTCTGATGGAGAGAATGACATTAGGGTTGAAGGGGAGAGAGGACCATTCCTAATATATATATATATATATATATATATATATATATATATATATATATATATATATATTCCATAATTCATAATCTGGTAAGTCCATCATATACCAAATCAAATCAATGATTGAGATTAAGTGTATCAGTAATTAATTGGGCAATATAACATTTAATGGGTAATATCTAGAATCTTAATATTATAATTATAATAAAATCCTTTTAAATGTTATAATTGATTCTTAATATTTTTAACATTCTCCCACTTGGCCCGATTAATCTTAATATACATGCATCTCTAATGTTAGTCATCATAAAAGATAAATTGTCAAGTGTGAGTTATGGCGATAGTGCACTATTAATTCAGTACATTCCCTTCCATATACTACATCACCAACAATCCATCACATAAAATTCATAATATAGGAAACATAATGGTCCATGTAATGTCTTACAAAGACTTTCTTGTCAAAATTCGTAATGTGTATACAACCATAAAATAACAAAGAAACATGATGTATGTCAGAAACACATAGGTGAGCTCAGAGTGTCACACATCAATAATCTTTAATACAACCAAGGCCCATACTTTCAACATGTTCTTTAAATAGCTTTGGTTGTAACAGAAAAAAAAAATCAAAAAATTTCTGTTTTTTTGTTCTCTGGCACAAAATGAGAAACACTTGTCTATCTCAATTACTCTCCACCACCACCGTTATCTCGATAGGATCACCACTAACATTGTCGTTGTTGTCGTCGTACCACCAATGTCATTGTCACCACCACCACGATTCCACTGCCACCATCACCACCACCTCCACCCATCGCCACATCACCACTACCACCACCACTATTGTTGTAGCCATTGTTGTCACCATCACCATCGCTGCCACCACCACCACCATCGCCACCAACTACCACCACCGTCGTCGCAGCCACCGCCACAACCATCATGTCATTACCACCACCGCTGCCGGCACCACCATCACCACAACCACTATCGTCACCACCACCACTACTGCCACAACCACTGCCATTATTGCTGCAGCCACTACCATCACCATCACCACCATGCCACCGCCGCCACCAACAACCACCACTGTGCCGCTGCCGCCGCCACCACCATCACCACAGCCACTGTCGTCACCACCACCACCATTACCACCACCACCAACTACCACCACCGTCGTCGCAGTCATTGCTGTCTCCAGCACCACCATGTCATTACCACCATCGTCCTAGCCACCTCCACCACCACTACCGCTGTCGCCCCCCGCCACCGCCACTATTACCACCACCACGCTGTCACTGCCGCCGCCACCACCACACCATATGGAAAAGAAAATGTAATATGAAAAAAATTTATGCTTAACGGGAATTATATTTTATTATATTATTTGTTATGTTATCAAACGCAATTCTCATTCTCGGAATAAAAATAGAACATGTTATCAAACACATTTTTTTTTCTCAGAAACTGTTCCAAGGCACAGAAATAGAAAAGAATTGTTTCTTTTCAGAAACAGTGCCAAAGAACAGAATGATTGTCATGCACACCCCAAGTGGTTATGAAACCCTTCCCAAAGGCAACAAAAATTACCATTTAGTCATTCCTTAAATCATACATAACTATACATTTGTCCTTCACACGAGTGATACAAGTTATATTTTACATTCTTCCACTTGGCTCAAGTGATAAAATGTCATTTTATAATTTAATGCAACATCAACTTTAATGTGCATATATAAGGCTAAACATTTCATACATTGGTTGCATCATAATTCATGATTAGGAATAAAACCAATATGAGTCACGGCGGTTCCACACTATCAAATTGGTATAAATCCTTCCATGTACCACTATATTGACTTTTCTCCCTAATATAATACTTTAATGGGAAGTATACAATTATGTCCAACCATAATGTCTTCAGTATGGACAAATCTTGTTTTTCAATATTAACATAAGATTGGTGCTTACATGCTCTATTGACATTCTATGTTTCTGAATCTCTTCTTTAACGACGAAGTATTCAACTCCATATGCTTAACATCTTTGGAATACTTGTCGTTTCTAAAAAAAAACTGTTGCAGAATTATCACAATACATTTTCAGCGATCTATCAATATTGTTGACCAATCAGCGCCCTAAAATAAAATTTCGTGGCTATTTAGCTTGAACCATGGCCTCAAAGCATGCCACAAATTCAACTTCCATAGTGGAAGCAACAATTATAGACTTCTTCGCACTTTTCCATGATATAGATCCTCGAGTTAAAAGATATAAGTAGCCTAAAGTGAATTTTCTTGTATCCACACATCCAGCAACAATTATAGACTTCTTCGCACTTTTTCATACGGGTAGTGCCATATAATGACCTTTTTCATACTGTTAATTAGTAAAGGGGTTATGTAATATAAGACTGCACATTTGTTTATTCAACATTTGTTATGTCTTATTGGGCAAAAATGTACACGAACGTGTAAAGAGAGACACACAACGCAGATGTCAAATAATAAAGTTTTTATTAGGGGTGTGCAAAATAACCAAAAAACTGAATTGAACCATGAACTGAACCGAACGTCCTTTAAATAACCGGTTTTTAAAAATCAATTCATGAACCGAATTGGATTTTAAAGAATCAGTTCATGAACCGAACCAGTTTTTAGAACCATTTTAAGAACCGAACCATTTTGAACCAAACCGAACCGAACTATTTTCAAACTGAACCAAATTGATTTTTATAACTTTATTTTTTAAATTTTTTATTTTTTCTTTTCAAAATAGGGTCGACC